CCATGCTGCCGGCAAAGAGAGCAGCAGCGGGCAGAGAGGCAGAGAGGCAGACAGGCACGTCTGCTCGGCTCGGTGTCCACCAGGCAACTGAAGAGCAGTCACCACCAGAGCAAGTCAGAGCAGCAGCAGCAGCGGTGGCACTGTACAACAGCAACGTGACAATCTGCCGTTATCACCCCTACCAGTCATCGGTGAGAGTGCTGCCACCAGTCATCCCCATCATCCTCATCACCACCACAANTCTCCACCACAAGCCACAAGCCACAAAAAGAACACCAGAAGTTAGGAGTGCACAAATCGATCTTTAAAGTTGTACGGCTGTGCACACACCTACTACACAGTTGTGTGTTCTACAACAAACAGGGCTCTCCTGAACGCCTCTCAAAGGGCTCAGAAAAGCGTGTTTTGACTACAGCTGGCTACTAGAGCAACAACACTACAGTTATCATCATCATCATCAGCAGCAGCAGCAGCAGCAGCCCTGCCGCTAGTCCTTCTTGTTGATCTTAAAGACGAGCACCAGGTAGGTGATGATGCGGAGGATGAGGAAGAAGACGAGCAGCGCGCCGATGTTCACGAAGAAGTACTTCTCGTCGATGTTGTACTGGTCCAGGAGCGCCGAGTGGTAGCTCTTGCCGCCGCTCGGGTCGTAGGTGCCGCCCAGCGTGCGCGCAAAGCCGTCCACAAACTTCTCGCCGCCCTCGCCGAGGACCATCGTCGCGTAGCCCATCCACTCCGGCTTGGTGGTGGAATTGCTGTCCGGCGGCACGTAGCTCGGATCCAGCTTGCAGCGGCTGAAGCCGTACACGGTGACCATGCTCGCCTCGAAGGCGTAGCGCAGGTAGGACAGGTAGGTGAAGTAGCGCAGGTACCACGGTATGGTGCTGATGCGGACGAAGAAGCCGCCAAAGAGCATGATCGGTACGGTGCTGATGGGTCCGAGGAAGACCGCGGCGCTGGCGTCCTCCATGAAGATGGCGCCCAGGAGAAGGCCGAGGCTCTGCGAGACAAAGGCCATGATGACGTGAATGAGGAGAAAGTAGGAGAGGCGCTCCGGCTCCAGCAGCTGGCCGGTCATCAGGTAGGCGACGATGCAGAAGATGACCGGGTAGATGACCTGATGAGGTGAGAAAAGGAGAAAAGTTGAAGATACAAACACAACAAAACAACAAAAGCTCGCACCTGAAAGGGAATCTCTGCTATGGAAAGGGCCACGTAGTAGGTGGCGATGCTGTACCAGCCGTTGATCTTCTCCTTGCGAATGTTGGTCAGGTTCTCCGGGAAGGTCATGATGGTGGGCATCATCGAGCCGAACATGACGAACATCAGCGTGAAGAAGATGAAGGCGAGGTTCTCGGTGCTGGTCACCGTCTCCTCCTGAAACTTCAGCCGGTAGGCGGGGAAGTTCTCCAGGTCGTTCAGGGGCGAGGTCAGAGGCGGACAGAGGGAGGGTTTGCCGATGCTGGGTCCGTAGAGGAGGCCTAGAGAGGAGGTGGGTGGGTGGAAATAGAAATCGAAACTGAGAGTTTGTAAACAAAGAGACCAAAAAGGTCTTACCGATAAAGAGCGCCGTGAGAAGGTGCGACAGCAGCCGCAGACTGTTGAGCATCGGATCGCGCAGAATGTGCATCGTCGTCCGCTGGAGCAGTATCCACAGGTGGAGCATCGTCGGGTAGGCGTTGCTCTCGCTGTACTTCGCCAGCGAGCGGCTGCTGCCCACCGGCGGCACGCCCAGGCCGGCCAGCTCCACCGCCGTGTCCTGCGCCTGCTTCACCTCTATGAGCTTGTCCAGCGCCTCGGGCCCGTACTCGCCGGAGGCGACCTCCGCTATGTAGTCCGCCGGGTTGTGGAACTGCGGACAGCGCAGCCCCACCGAGGTGAGGTGGGCGAGCATCTCCTTGGGCGAGCCCTCGTAGATGCAGTGACCGTTGTAGCTGATCACGTAGACGTGGTCAAAGAGGGCAAAGACGCGGGCGGAGGGCTGGTGGATGGTGGCTACGACGGCCGTCGGATTGCGCTCATTCTTCGCCAGGCGCTGCATGACGGTCACCGTTTGGTAGCAGGCACTGCTGTCCAGGCCGCTGGTTGGCTCGTCGAGGATGAGGATGGAGGGCCTAGGGTAGGATTGATTTGTTAGAATCTCTAAAATAAAAATTCTAAACAGCTCAACAACTTACTTTGAGATCATCTCCAGTGCAATTGAGATCCTCTTCTTCTGCCCGCCCGAGCAGCTGCCCGCCCGCGTGTCGATGCACACGTCCAGGCCGAGCTGGGCGCAGACGCTGAGCGCCAGCTTCTGGTGAACGTTCTTCACCACCTTACCACCACCACCTCCTCCTCCTCCTTCTTCAACGTCATCCAAAAGATTGCGCTTGGAGCTGCTCTTGCCGCCCTCCGCCTGATCCGAATCCTTCTCCACGACGACCTTCATCAGCCGGGCCTCCTCCTCGTCCTCCTTGCGCCAGTTCTTCAGACGGGACGCGTAGACGAGCATCTCGCGGACGGTGAACGATTCAATCAGGTAGTCGGACTGGCTGATCAGCGCCATCTTGATCATCTTCTCACCGCTGTTCTGATCGCCCTTGCTTCCGCCGCCGCTGGCCACCCGAATATCCCCGGTCAGCCCCCGCTTCCTGAAGCCGACGATGCACTCGAGCATGGTGCTCTTGCCGCTGCCGCTGGGGCCCATCACAGCGGTCAGCTGCCCGGTGGCAAAGTGCCCGTTGACGCCCTTGAGGATGGTTCGCTTGGTGTGGCGGACCAACGTCAGCCGGCCCTCCCCTGCCTCCTCCAGGTCGTCCGCGGAGGCGCAGAGCGAGCGCAGCGTCATCGTCCGCCCCTCCACCGTGTACGTCAGGTCGCGCCAGGTGACGGTGATCTGCCGTGGGTCGTCGACCGTGGATGGAGTTCCTGGAGGCTGAATTTGAAGAGGTGGCACAGGCGGCGCAAGCAGCGTTCGAGTGGACTTCCCCGAGGTGGGAGTGACCATTGGCTGCTGCTGCTGCTGCCCTTTCGGTTGCTGTTGACTGGAGACGATGGCGATGTTGTTCAGCAGGTGGCCGGCGCTGAGGATCTGCTGGGGCTGGGGCTGCTGTGTTTGCACTCCGTCACCGCCACCATCACCTTCCTCATCATCCTCAGCCTCATTCATGGAGACGCCCATGCGTTCGGCAATGGAGCCAATGATCAGCTGGTTGCTGTCCTGCAGGGCGGCGGCGTTGATCTCCTCCTCCAGGCGGGCTTCCTCGTCTTCCTCGTCTTCGACGTCATCCTCGTCGTCCAGCTCGTCGTCGTCATCGCCGCCGCCATTTTCTCGCCTCTTCTCTCGCTCTTTGGCTCGCTCGTCAAAGGAGGTGACGGTAGTTTCCATGAGTTGCTTTCGTTTTGTAGTTTTTTTGTAGTCGTCTTTGTTCGCCGAGAGCTACTTGAAGACTGTTGGTGTGTGTTGGTGCGTCTTAGTCAGTCAATCAGCAGTGTTTGTCGTTCACGCGTCGGGAATTAGTCAAAAGAGAAGAAGGAATTGATCTTGCCTTTTTAGCTTCTTCTTTCTCTCGGGTGAGACGCGAGGGTAATAAATTCATTACTTTACTGAGCAAGTACTTGAAGAATGGAGAATACTTGAGGAAGAGAGCGAGAGAAGACGTCACACGTCCGCTGAAGTAGAACTGAAGAGTAGAGGTACATGCTTTTTTGTGCCGAAAAACCGTTGAAGAAACTCAAAAGTGGAGGTGTACGGGTCTTGACAAGTTCGCCACATAAGACTGCCATCGTTGAAGCTTACTCTTTCGATTGACGAGAAGAAGAAGAAAACGCAGTAGTAGAGAAGAAGCTCCCTCAACCTTGAATTAAAGCAAGCAGCAGCAGTGTTGGGCCAGTGCAGCACAAAGTCGAGGAGAGTTTGAGGCAGTCACGGAAACGGCTGATCGATATAATTTCGCCGACTTCACTGTACTGTTAATTTTCAACTGTCACTTTAAAGTTTAGAGGCCAATGGCAAATCGATGACAGAATTTAAGGGCAGAATCGACTTGAGCTTGCTCCTGTTTGTTCTAGCGCAATTTCAGTAACATGATTGTTGTGGTGGCATTTTCTCAACGCATTGCAATGCGTTTCACTCTTCCCGCTAAAGCCTTCTTGCTTGCTTCGCCTGAAAAAGTTCAATACTTGCGCCCTCAAAGATACTTGAAAAAAAGTACTGCAAAAAAAGAGAGAGGAAAATGATTAGTAAAACACTAGCACTCTGAACTAGTGCACCCAATCAGCCAACTCTTTAGGGTATTAGAGGAAAAAGACAGCAGTAGAAGTAGTAGTAGAAAAAAGGACTATTAATAAAGTTGTAATATAAAAAAAAGAAGGTGGTAAAAAGGAGGAGAAGAAAGGACAGGGAGGAAAAAGAAAGGGAAGGGAAAAGGAGGAGGGGGAGGGGGTTAAATACAAAGGCGTTCTCAGAGAGTTCATACAGAGGTGGTGGTGGGAGTATCAAAAAAGTCCCTAATAGAACTTCTTCGACTGACTGCTCTCGCGGTGGTTGAGAAAGTACAGCGTGCCCACCAGAATCACCGACTGCACGGCGAGAAAGAGGAGCAGCGTCGTCGAGGAGGTGCAGGAAACGGCGGGACAGCTGGCCAAACCAGCCGTTTGCCCTCCCGTTCCTCCCGCCAGTCTGGTGGTCAAAGTGCCAAACTCCCGCCGAACGACGTTCATGTTCTCGCGGACCTCGGTGAGCAGCTGCTGGAGGAGGTGCAGCTGCTGGGCGTTGCCGTCCTGGCTGCCACCTTGGGCGGGCTGAGGAGGATGTTGCTGCTGAGGAGGCTGAGGAGGCTGCTGCCCACCGCCGGTATTGTGCTGCACCAGGACCTTAATCTCGCGAGCATTGGTCAGCAGCTCTCGCTGGACGCTGAGGATGGACTCCACCTCCTGGCGAGAGACGGGCGCCGGTTGAACTGAAAAAAGAGACAAGATAAATTAGAAATCTAGCAAAAACAATAACAACAACAGTTTCACTTACCTCCTCCGCCGTGAGCCGCCGTACCGCCGCCGCCCATCGCCTGAATGCTGGTGATCAGCGACAACGCCCGCTCCTGCCGACCGATAATCTCGTCCAACTTGTGGTGCATCGCCTTCACATTGTCGAAGACCTCACTTTGGCCCTGGTAGATCTGCTGCAGCTCCCGCACGGAGAAGTCAAACTCCGACTCCGCCGCCTTGTCCGACTCGAGCTCCAGGCGCTTTGCCTCATCCGGATGAGCCTTGAGGTAGTCATCTCGTTGCCGTTCCAACTTCGTCTTGTACTGCTCGTACTCGGCGCTGAAGCGCTGCTTGTCGGCGTCAGAGAGGCCTCCGGTGCCGGCAGCTGCTTGCACCTGCGACTGCGGCACCAGGCTGTAGGTGAGGAACTTGAGGACGTCGTGGTCGTCGGCGAGGCCACCAGTCGCCGCACTGATGCCAAAGTGGCCAAAGGGCGGGAGGAAGACGTTCTCCGCGCGCAGACACAGCTCGTAGTCGTGCTCGTTGTTGGTGTTGCCGCTGTGGAACATCACCGTCAGCACGTTCTTGTAGTACTCGATCTTGGCGCGGACGGGGAACGGTTTGTTGCGAAAGTCGCGCAGGCAGCCCTGCAGCTGCTGGTTGATGCCGTCGGTGTTGTGGTCGTAGCTCTTCGTGCCGTCATTGACCATCGCCATCACGTAGGGGTTGTTGCCCTTGTTGTCGTTGTCGAAGGAGTCGAAGAAGAGGGCGAGGCCCTGCCAGTGGTCCGCTGAGCCGAAGACCGGCCCCTCCGGGTACTTGACGTCGGTGTACCAGAAGGCGAGGCCGTCGGCGCCGATGCGGCCCTTGCCGTTGACGCGGAACATCAGCTCCACCTCCCACCAGTTGAAGGTGGTCTTGGCGCGGGTCCAGATTTGGCCCTTCTTCGAGCGCAGCGAGGGCGTGATGCGGACCATCTCCTCGCTGGCGATGGACGCCCCGGAGTACTCCCAGAAGGGCACCGTGCCGTCCTTCTGCGCCAGGTAGGGGCCCTTGAAGGAGTACTTGTACTCGAAGCGGCGGTGAGCCGTCTCCACGGCGTAGTTCCCAGCTGCCTGGCCCTCCAACAGCGGCGAGCTGCAGCTGAGGAGGACGATGAGGGCGGCTAGGCAGAGGTGAATTGTGGCGTGCATTGTTGTTGTGGTTGTTGTTTGGTAGAGGTGGGGTGATGATGATGATGATGATCAGGCCTTGACCAGTCGCCTTTGGCTCGGGCAACGACAACAACGACGGCTGATGGCTGAAAAAATGATGGCAATGGCTGATCGAGCGAGCGAACGAGAGAAAGAAGTCGGTGCACTCGGTGATCAGTGACACGCCGGCAGAAAGAGAGAGAGAAGGGCGATGAAGAGGAGGAGAGGATGATAAGCGCCGCAGTTGTGAGGGTGAAGAGAAAGAGAGAAGTACACGTTAGTAAACGAGAGTGATAAGATGATGATCAACGACAGTACCGAGGTTTGGAAGACCCTGCGAACACTGTCCTCGCTGGTGTGAGATCAAACGATGAGATGAGAGATGGTGATCCTTGAACCCTGAGAAACGCTTCGGTGAATCCCGGAGAAATAGAAATAGAAACGGCAAGTCGCCGGCTTCTTCTTCCTCTCTCTCTCTCAAGTCTGTGTTGTCTGCAGCAGTCTGCAGCTCTGGCCACGGATGCAAACTAACACGTCACTCACTGTGATTAGTGCGTCTGACCGCCACCAGCGGCCAGCACTCTCGCTGTTTTTTAAAAAGTGATCAACTTTTGATTTGTTTGAAAAGATCAATTTTTTTCTTTAGAGTAAAAGGAGTTTAAAGTACAATCTTGGGAAAATTACGGAGAGGGAGAATCATTGCAAGCATTGTGAGGATGCGGGAGTGTTATGTACAGTAAAGAGGGGTGTAAAGTGGGTGTTTGTTTGTGAAGATTGTGTGCCAAAGTTACTGGAAAAAAGAGGAAAAGATAATTTGGTGCCTTGTAACAGAGAGCGAGCGAGTTTTGTCAGCGCTCAGAGCTCATCGTGCTCATCACCGGCGCCAGCGTCCTGAGAAAGAGGTAAACAAAAGAAAAGGTAATCAGAAAATGTTGCCCATACTCACACCCCCAAAAAACGCCTACCTCCTCCTCTCCTTCTTTGCCCTCANGAACAAAACAAAGTCGTTAACACATCTTATCCTCAAAACCAAACTCCCAAAGGCTCACCTGAGCGTGCTCATCCACACCGAGCGTCTTTCGCAGGAGCGACTCGACGCGCTGCGCAAAGGCGGCCGTGTCGCCCAGCGTGTAGCCACTTCGCAGCGTCGCCGTCTCGTACATCAGCAGGGCCATGCTCTTCGCCGTCCCGNAGCCGCCTCTGCCAGCTGCTGCAGCGAGTCATCCTCGTCCTCGAGGACCTAAAAAGAAAACAAACAAAATTAAGATTCAGACATTTTAAAAAACCAAACTCCCAAAGGCTTACCTGAGCATGCTCATCCACGCCGAGCGTCTTTCGCAGGAGCGACTCGACGCGCTGCGCAAAGGCCGCCGTGTCGCCCAGCGTGTACCCGCTTCGCAGCGTCGCCGTCTCGTACATCAGCAGGGCCATGCTCTTCGCCGTCCCATCCTCCTTGTCCTCCTCGACGCGCTTCAGCAGCTCGCGAATCAGCGGGTGGCGCGGGTTGATCTCCAGCGTCTTCTTCTGCGAGAGGTAGTAGTCGCGCATGGTGTCCTGCGACTTTGAGTGGGCGTTCGAGCGGGCCAGCCGTTCCATGTTCCCGGTCCAGCCAAACTGCGAGGCGACGAGGGCGCACGGTGAGTCGTGCAGGCGCTGGCTGACCACCGCCTTGGCAATCTGCTCCTTGAGGAGGTCCTCCTGGAGCCACTTCTTCAGCGGCTCAAACTCCTTGTCGAGCTCCGCCTGCCGTTCCTTGCCCTTCTCGCCGCTCAGGTCGAGGCCGTCCTTGGCGACGTTCTGGAACTTCTTGCCATCAAAGTCGGGAATGGCGCTGATGGCGTACTCGTCGACGGCGTCCGTCAGGTAGAGCACCTCGTAGCCCTTCTTCAGGAGGCGCTCCACAAAGGGCGAGGCGGCCACCTCGGCGATGCTCGTCCCGGCGATGTAGTAGATGGCCCCCTGCTTCTCCTTCATTCGTTTGACGTAGGCCTCCAGGCTGGTCAGCTGGTCGAGCGAGGCCGAGGAGCGGAAGCGAAGGAGCTTCGAGAGGCGAGCTCGGTTCGTCGTGTCCTCAATGACGCCCAGCTTGATGTTGGTGCTGTACTCCTTCCAGAAGGCCTCGTAGTCCGCTTCGCTGATCTTCTTCAGCATGTCCAGCACCTTGCGGACCAGCTTCTTGCGAATCACCTTCAGCAGCTTGTGCTGCTGCAGCATCTCTCGACTGACGTTCAGCGGAAGGTCGTCCGAGTCCACTAGGCCGCGGATGAAGGAGAGGTAGCTGGGCATCATGTCGGTGAAGTCGTCGGTGATGAAGACCCGCCGAACGAAGAGCTTAATGTTGTCCGTTCGCGTGCCGTAGCGGTTGAAGCTGTCGGTGGGGTTGACCTTGGGGACGAAGAGCAGCGACTTGAAGGTCACCTCGCCCTCTGCGATGAAGTGCGTCTTGGCCAGCGGCGCCTCGGTGTCCTTGGTGATCGACTTGTAGAACTCGTTGTACTCCTCGTCCTCGATCTGCGCCGGCTTTCGCGTCCAAATGGGCTTCGAGGTGTTGATCAGCTCCCAGTCCCAGGTGGTCTTCTCCACCTTGCGCGTCTTGGGCTTCTTCTCGCCCTCATCCTTCACCTCCTCCACCTGGGCGTCCTCGTCGACGTCCTTTTTCTCGGTTTCTTCCTTTTTCACCTCTTCCTCCTCCTCAATCGGCTCCTCAATCGTCTCCGTCTTACTCGACCAGAGGTAGATCTTGAAGTTGATGAACTGGCTGTACTTTCGAATCAGGTTTCGAAGGGTGTCCGGCTCCAGGAAGTCCTTCGCCTCCTCCTTGAGGGCCAGCGAGATGGTGGTGCCGCGCTTCAGCGTGTCGCCGCGCGGGTCCTCGACGACGGTGAAGGCCGCCGAGTCCGACTCCCAGATGTGCTGCGTCGGGTCGTCGTTCGATTTGCTGGTCACCACCACCTTGTCGGCCACCAGAAAGGCCGAGTAGAAGCCGACGCCAAACTGGCCGATCAGGTCGCTCATCTGCTTCAGGTCTTTTGTTTCGCCCAGCTTGGAGAGGAAGTCCGCCGTGCCCGACTTGGCGATGGTACCGAGGTTGGCCACCAGCTCGGCGCGGCTCATGCCGACGCCGGTGTCGGTGATGTGCAGCATGTTGCCCTCCTTGTCGGCCTTGATGCGAATCGAGAGCTCGTCGGTGGCCGACAGGGCGTCGGTGTTGGTCAGAGAGAGGAGGCGAATCTTGTCGAGGGCATCGGAGGCGTTGGAGATCAGCTCGCGGAGGAAGATCTCCTTGTTGCGGTACAGCGAGTTGATGATCAGCTTCATCATGCGGCTGNATCGAGAGCTCGTCGGTGGCCGACAGGGCGTCGGTGTTGGTCAGAGAGAGCAGGCGAATCTTGTCGAGGGCGTCCGAGGCGTTGGAGATCAGCTCGCGGAGGAAGATCTCCTTGTTGCGGTACAGCGAGTTGATGATCAGCTTCATCATGCGGCTCACCTCCGCCTGGAAGGTGTGCTTCTCCGCCCGCTCTCGAAGCTCCTTCAGCTGGGCGACGCTGAGGCCGTCCAGCTTGATGGCCTCCTCCTCGCGGGCCACCACGCCGGCGTCCGTCTTTGAGCCCTCGTGGTGGCCGCCCAGATCGGCCTCGACGGTGCCCGGATTCAGCACCAGCTCGTCCTCCAGTTCATCCTCGGCGTGGGCAAAGTCTGAAAGTAGAAAGTAAACTTCAGTGAGAAACAGAAAAGTATAAAACCGAGATGCTTACGAGACGCCGACGAGAGGACGAGGAGAAAGAAGAGCAGACACTTCAGTCTCTGGGAGAAGAACATCTCGCAGGAGTGTTTTGTCACCGGTGGGTAAAGAAAGAACAACACTAACGACGATGAAGGTTTTCAGTAGAAGAGGAAGAAGTAGAAGTACTGGAGGACTTCACCAATACCACCACCACCGAAAGAGAGTGTGTCGATGACAGAATCTGTCTGGTGGGCGCACTTTTTCAAGTCAGTCTGCCGGTGAGTTTGCGAGTTTGGTGAGAGAGAGAGAGAGAAAGAAAGAGAAAGAAAGGAAAGCCGTCAGTGCTAAGCACACGTCAGAGTAAGTGAGAGTGTGACGCCCTCAGTGCACTGCAGCGGCAGCAGCAGCAGCAGCAGCACAACAAAAAGCAGCGGCGAGAACAGACGTGTCTGGAAAAGTCTGCTGCTGGCGCTGTTCATCGATGCTGTAGCAGCTGCTGCCGTCGCCGGTCAGTCGGCGCGCCGCGCTGTGTTTCGGGTTTCGTGGCCGTCGCTGATTGGCTGCTGAGGCTGCTGCTGTGGCTCACGTGTGCACAAATGTCAACATTAAAATAGAAATTGACAGTGAGACGGTGAAAGATTGGAAATGAAATTAAATCATCGACGGCTGCTGCTGCTGCTAAAATTAACTCCCCCTAATCGTCATCAACTAAAACTAAACAGCAGATTAAAATAATATTAAAAGTGCACAAATAAATGTGAAAAGGCAGCAGCAGCAGCTAAAGGAGGGAGGGAATGAAGAAGAAGAAGGTTAGGCGGGCAGGACCGAACTTAGTTGCCGGTGCTGAAGGCGACCACCTCGGTTATGTAGAAGGAGGCGCTGTCCTCTTCCTCTTCCTCCTCATCAGTATCAGTGCTCGATGAGCTGTTGTTGCTGGTGGTAGTGCTGCTGCTGTTGCTTCCGTCCATCGAGGAAACGATGCTGCTGCTGCTGATGGCCGATGTCCACTGGCCATTGAAGAACGACGAGTGATCAGCATCATCATCATCGGCGATGATCATTTGCTGAGAACCACTCGACGATGAGGCCGAAGTCGAGGTCGAGGAAAGCTGCTTGTGTCCAGTTGAAGTGACGTCCACTTCGAAAGATGAAGATGATGAAGATGAAGGTGAGGCGGCGGCGGCGTTGGCGGTGACCACCACGTCAGGCAGATTGGCCTGCTCAAACATCATCACCTTCTGCTGCTGCTGCTTTTTCTTTGACTGTTTCACTTGGC